TCTAAACCGGAGAGGAGACCATTAACTGGTTTAGGCCGCCAGTTGAGACTGTTACCGGTATGTGGTCGCTAGGCCGCGCCTAGCTTCGAGGAGCCACGGGTGAGAATTGGATGCCAGTTAAGGGCTGACCTGGGGGCATTCACCGCCTGCACAAGACAAATAGAGCGACCTAATGCTACCAGAGCGGTGCCCACTAACGAGCACTCCTACATCCCGAAAGCTACACACAGCCTACATCAACTGCGGGAACGACACCAAAACGCCGCCTTCTTTAGATTTTGACGCCTGCTACGACCAGGACTGCAAGAGATGCAAAGTGTTTAGACAGATCGCAAGGCCGAGCAGACACAAGGCTCCGCGGACTGCAACGAATGGAAGAATCTATTCGCCTTAATCTAAGCGGTCTACGGCCCCGGTGCAAAAAAAGAACAGCGCCGTTGATCAGTTGCGACAGTAGCGTACATCTAACGGAGAAATCGTATATGCTTAAGCGTTGGGCCGAATAACTCGGAAGACTTCAACAGTCCTTCTCAAGTGGAACCCAAGACCAACCTCGACCATTTGTCCTCGCTGCAAGAGAGCAGGGCAAGTTAAATTACATGTCCAGCGGTAACGTGTCTGAATTTGACGGAATTCCTACCGAAGACTAGGCGGTTCTCGGCATGCGGGCAAGCTTCCCTCATTCTTCTCTGAGATATAGCACCAGGGACAAATCATTCGAGACTTCAAAGACGCAACCATCGTCTACATCAAAAACGCGAGCACAAAGTCAGTTCCTACGTCAATATTGTAAGGAAAGTCTTCACTAGATTCTTTCTGAATCGCATAGACACACAAATGGGACAAGGGGTTCATCCGGAAAGTCAATGGCAATTCCGAAGGAACCGCAGAAACATTGGCATGCTCTTCACAGCCCGCCAGATACAAAATAAGTGTCTAAGAGTGGAAATGGAACTATATATCACCTCCTTTTGACCTGACAAAGACCTTCAATACGATCAGTCGCGAAAGGCCATGAAAAATATTGTTGAAATTGGCATCTCCAGACCATCTGTATACTTAATAAAAGTCTGGA